TGCAGGTTATGCCCACTGTCTTTAAACAATTCCCAATCCCAGAAACTAATACACATGCACTCTTCTCTCTCTCTCTTTCTTTCTTTTACTACTCACTCACCTTCAATTACTTTGACATGTTCMCCCCCCCCCCTCTCTCTCTCTCTCTAACAAAGCCGAAGTAATAGAATATGAGGACCTCTATGTGATTTTACACTATTTGGTAACATATATCCGGACAACGTGTGTTGGTTGTGTTCACTATTCACATATGAATCATATGTAAAATCACATGTGATGGATGTTTTCTTATGTTTTATTACTTTGATTATGTTGTCTTTCGAACCTGGCCTTTTATATATATATATATATATATATATATATATAGACATAGGTATAGTAAAGACATATATTCAAAGAGACATGTAGTGGTTCTTGGAGTTGCATGACCTTTTTGTCCATCTTAGCAACAAGGGGGACCTTGGAGATATTGACTATTACCAAACACTAACACAACTATTGGTCTTTTGGACAACATTTTCTACGGCAAACATTTATATAGGCTTCTTTTGTACATTATATTATGTATACCATATAATGACATATGATCCAATAATATACACACATGCGTGTGTGCGCGACACACACACATATAGGTGAAGGTTTAAATGAGAAGACCTCTATTTTACAAGATTGTGAGAACATCTTTATCACATGTGGTAATACACGTGATGGGATCTGGTGGTGTGAGGACGACATGTCTGCGACTTAGGCCACACAAAAGGTTGTTTTCGTCTATGATTTAGTATCACATAAAGATTATCCTTATTACATGTGAGGGGGATTAGTGGTGTAAGAACAACTTGGGTCACAACCTAGATCGTGCCAAAACTCGTCCGTATCTCTTATTTAGTGTCACGTTCGTATCATATGTGATGAAATATATAGTATCACATGTAATGGTCTATAGTAAAAAAGTGTTCTTATATTCTTCTAAAATGAAAGTGTTCTTGTTTGAACCATTTCCCCCCTCTCTCTCTCTCTCTMTMTATATATATATATATAGATAGAGAGAGAGAGAAGGGTAATCATTTGCAAACCATTTGAATCTTACAAGCCTTACATATCCATCTAGGTCATCCTCTTTTTGATGAACGGTTGAGAAATTTTCGTATTTGAATTAATTAAAAAATTAAGGAAAGGGTAGTTTTGGAATAAATTTTATTAAATAATTAGAATTATCTTCATGATTTTCTCCATTATCTTTGTCACTCTC